TCTTAACACTTTAAGGTGGCAGAAACTGCATTTCTCTCCCTGTTCAATGACAGCTAGATAAATATAGTTAAATGACAGTTAAATATAATATATTTAATGACAATTAAATATAATATATTTTAAAGTTCCCAAAAAGTTTAGGATCAGATACTGTATTTGATATTTTGAGAACACATCATGGATACTCTCATAAAACGGTTACTTGAAGGAAGGTTGCATTTTCCCCAAATGTTTCCATGGTTGACATAGAATCATGGAACTGGAAGGGACATTGGAGGTCTTCTAATCCAACCCCCTGCCCAAGGCACAAGACCTTATTGCATTCTGGACAATATTTTCTTGAAGACCTCCAGTGATGGAGCACCCACAACTCTGGGAGACAAGCTCTTCCACTGATTAATTATTCTTATACTCAGGAAATTTCTCCTTAGCTCCAGATTAGATCTCTCTTTAACATGAGTTGGTATGTGCACACTGTTAATACATACAATATATAGGTGTGCAATATAGTCAACAGAAAATAATCCTCTTACAAAAGAATGATCCAAAAGGCTGAAGCTATATTTCTTTCTTGTGCTTCAATATTTTATTTGAAAGAGAAGATGCCTGGAGAAGTATTTCAATGAAAAATCCTGACATATCTCAAATTTCTGCAGGAAAAAGCGGTCACATGCTCGTGTTTTCTTAAAGGATGGTCCAGTAGTAGCCTGTCAGTGACACTTATAAATTGGGCCTGCAAATAAAAAAATATTCAAATTTTCTGAAAGCAATCACCCCAATCTAAATAGTTGAATATTTTTTGAAATGTATCAAAAAGAACCACTGGAAAACAGGATTGTGGGGCTGAGACCATTGTTGACCAGTTACATACTATGGAAGCATGTAGATGAAGGTTGTGTGTGTGTGTGTGTGTGTGTGTATATATATAGAGAGAGAGAGATTAGAACTCTACAATATATATGTGTGTGTGTGTGTGTGTGTGTGTGTGTGCGTGTACACACATATATATATATAGGTGTGTGTGTTGGAAGTTGTGATTCCCCTGTCTTCTCGGAAAACATTAGAAGAAAGGAAGAGGTGAAAACACAAGCAGGGTCAGCTCCATCAGCCCCCACCCTTTGTCAAGTAGGGCTATTAAAATAGCTGGAGCCACCTTACTTTTCACAACAAAGGAAGGAGAAAATTATAGGCATGATATACAGAGGAAAAAAACCCGACAAACTAACTAAGATCCTTTCCCATAGAAATCAAATAGATGGCAAGCTATAAAGCTTGTGAAAAGCAAATCAAAAAGCATAACAGGAAACTCAGGATATTGCAACCTAATGCAACAAACAGCTACTATAAAACAATTACCAAGATCCCAGGAAGAGATCCCAATATCAAAAGACAGGAACTCATCACACACACACACACACACACACACACACACACACACACAAATCAAAGACTTCAAAGGTTCACACTTACAAAATCAAAGGATCTGAAGGGTATAAAAAAGGAGTTTCTCTATTCACAAGATTAGATTAATCCTAGGAACGCTGTGAGATTTCTTACCTGCCTTCCTATTAATAAACTGATTCTGACTTTCAACGCAGCTGACCAAATCATTTTGCCTTTCTCCCAGCCGGGAAATTTGAATCCACAAAAGGAAAGAATTTTGCCTATTACAAAAGGGCAAGGGCTTCTTTTTCCTCTCCTTATGTGTGTATATATATGTGTGTGTGTGTGTGTGTGTGTGTGTGTGTGTATAGAAAGAGAGAGAGAGAGAGAGAGAGAGATTAGAACTCTACAATGTGTGTGTGTGTGTGTGTATAAAATGATTTATATTAATAATAACAGAAATCCCTGAAAATCATTATATGTTAAGTTACTTCAAAATCTCTCAAGAGTTTTTTTGACATTTTGCAGGAATTCAGCATTTTCATAAGAAAATGTGAAATGAAATATGTGAAATAGAACTGTGATGCTCTAGTCCTGCCTTGGGCATGAAGGCCGGTTGGGTGACTTTGGCCTAGTCACTCTCTTTCAGTTCAACTCATCTCACATGGTTATTGTTGTAGGAAAAAATAGAGGAAGAGGGAGTATTAGGTATGTTGGCTGCCAGGAGTCATTTATGAAATAATAATAATAAAAGCAGGATAAAAATAATTGTTATATTGGACTTCCGGTCTGCAGCGCTTCGGGGCAGGCAGGAATCCGTGACTGTGTGTGGTTTCTGCCTGCGCTCGCTGCCGGAGTGCCCTGAGCCACCTGGCTTCAGGGCTAGCCACCCCCGTAGAAGGTGGCGAAGATAGGGGGGATCTGGCAGGGTCGAGTGATATCGCACCTCTCTTCTCTAGCCGGCTAAACCCCCTTTTCCGAAGGTAGCTGAGCGGCGGTCAGAAATGGCTGCCACATAGAAGCGCTCAGCCGGAAAAAGAAAGTGCAGGAGGAGTCGAGAAGAAGTGAAAGTTTTTTTGCTGACCGGGACAAAGCAACAACAAAAGTACCCTGGTACTTAAAATTTGCGAAAGACACATCGTTTCCAGAGATTTGCAAGCGGCGAATGGAAGTTAAAAGGGAAAGTTTTTCTTTTTTTTCACTCTCCTTCCTAACGTGACAGCGAATGGAAATGCAAGAGAAATCAGAAAAACCCACATTGGCACTAATAGGTAATTAAATGCTAAAGGCATAAGGATTTCTGAATATTTTAAAAAAATCTTTTTTGCTGTAAGTGGGAAGGGAGAGGAAAAGAATTGGAGCAGGATTTGGAAGTAAGGAGGAGATTGCCTAGAATCTCAAAGAATTATTAAATACTAACAAGACTTCTAAAAGATACATTTTAACTGGAACTTTGTAACTAAACAGTAACCCCAGAAATAGAAAGTGAAGAAAGAAGAAAGTGCTAAAAGAAACAGCTTATTTGGATTGTTTGGTGACTTTGGGACTTTTGGGAATTATTTTTGACTAAGAACACTTGGGTGGTTGTTTTGGAAAAACTTTTTCTTTCTACAATGGCATCACTTGTGGATGAATTGAAAATTGAATATAAAAAATACAAAGAAGAACAAGAAGGGAAAGACTCTCTTGGCACTCTCTTTCAATTTTTAGAAATGGCGATTTGCACCTATGAGAAACTGACTGTGCAACAAGATGATTGGGACAAAGAAGAAGCCATCTTTGATGAACAAGTAACTTTATTTGGGGAAGAAAGGGAGAAAGAGGAAAAGAAAAAGGGGACTTTACTTGAAAAAACAACCAAAAAAGAGAAAAATAAGGTGAAAAGTGGATATAATGTTGGAAAACAACAGAAAGAGGGAAAGCAGAAGAAGAAAAGGGAGGTGGAGAGACAAGGGGGTAAAAAGGGCAGGGAGAAGAACAAGCAAGGGAGGAAGGAAGGAATGAGAAACCTTAATGGTGGGGAGCAAGATGTAAAAAAACAAGATTCAGTTAGAGATAATGGTTAAATTTAATTGAAAAGGGGATTCTGCAAAGGTACATAAGATTTTATTCTTATATTGGTACTTAGAAATATTGTTATAAAATTGGAAACAACATGTGACCAAAAATAGGATAAAATATTTAGTGTAACTTAGTGAAATTTTTGTGAATAAAAAGAAGGCAATGAAATAAATGAGAGAATTGAAGTAGGAGGAAATGGGAACATTTTAATGATAGAACGATTTAAATACAATGATTTAAAATATGTGATGTGGGGGGGGAAACAACTATGGAAGGTATAAGTGTTCCCATAAAAGTATGATATTCAATTGAAAAGTGATGTGTAAAATGTTGAAGATATAAATGAATATTAACATTAATGATTAGATTTGTATTGGCATTGATAGTTGTTTTAATTATATTATATACCTATAAATTTTTTCTTTTTATAAAATATAATGTGTAATTTTAGAATGTACTAAACAGAATCCCAATGGAAGTCATGTATTATATTAAGCATTATAAATTTAGGGGAAAGAGTCAAAGGCGTCACACTCCAATCAGTGTACAGGAGAAGTTTTGTTTAAAGAGAAAAGAGAAATAGATAGCTGGAAACAGAACAGACAAAGAATAATAAATATTATGATCTGAACTGAGATGAGATAAATAAAATAAAACTAAGAGAGTTAAAAGAGGTAAGAAGCTATATAGAAAATGGAAAATGGTAATAAGATATGGAATGGTATATAAAATGAACATGAATTTGAATTTGTGTCTGTACGAAGAGATGTAACCCGGGATCAAGCAGCTTTCAGAAAAGATGTTTTATGTTTTTATGTTTTATGTTTTGTTTGTTTGTGTATTGTCTTTGAAAATCAATAAAATTTGTTTAAAAAAAATTGTTATATTAAATATCACACTAAGTTGGAGATTTAGCCATAAATGTATGTTCATGCCATCATGAAATCATGACAGTATTTACCCTTTGAAAAGGTGCCAAACTAAAACATTTTCTTGCTTCCGTCATGCTAATGCATATTATATGTAACCTGCAGACACCTTCAAGAAAGAACTCGTTACAGAGAAAGAACTCGTTACAGAGATTAAAAGAACTGCCCACCACATTGTTATTCTAAACACCTCAATATTTTTTCTCTCAACGTAAAAGGTACTGCAAAAAATAAAAATCAAATAGATCAAACTCACAGAGCAACATCATAATTGAAATGATCAAATGTATAGTTATGTAGAAAGAAGACTTTTAATTTGAAAGGTATATAGAGAGATTCCATTAAGGAAGAAGGCATAATAATCCAAAGGTGAGAAGAATTGCTATTGTCTTATAAGTCTCTCTGTGGGAATTTTCACAGCATAGACATCTATTGGGAGCAGTGGGGAGGAGGGCGGCTTGTGAAATTCTACTTCCTCATGCTTGCCATCCCATCAATAAATGCCTGCAATCATACTCTTGAGCTGTGGTGTGATTTCAAGGTTCATCTCTTCCAAGCAGCTCAAACACTAATTATCCCAGCTGTAATTAGTAAGATAATTAAATACTGGCTCACTCATCACTCTACCTTGTGTCGGGTCATGATTCTCCCAGAAGACCTTGAGCAGTTTCTCAAAGCTGATGATTTCTGGCTGAAATACCACTCGCACAACTTCAGTATGGCCAGTTTTGCCTTCAATGAAACAATAAGAAACAGGAATATTAATCACTGAAACCAGCACAAAAATGGATTTTTTATTCCCCAGTATGTTAAACAAGTAAAAATACGTGGACAGGAAAAGACTGGTGATTAACGGTTATAAGCCATGCCACTTTTTCTGGTAAATTTCAGAAATGGCAATGCTTTATTCCATTAGGAAGCTGTACTTTTTTGATTCATTTTTTTGTAGCTCTGCATGGCATGGCAATAAAGTCATGAGATCACATGGGTGACCAGGGGGACCAGGAGGAGATGGCAAGAGATAGTTTCAATTCCTTTTTGTTCTAGTTCTGTCCGTTACTTTTTAGGCAGTGAGTGGGTTCAGTTTTGAAAGGAAAATTGATATGTTACATCTACGATATAAATCTAGATTAACACATGTTTTGCCAGTTTCTTCTAAAGTAAACAGAAAAGGATTCTGCCAAATTTTCTCAGCATACCCAAAGGGATTTTTTCAGGAGACAACTGGACTTTCTTGTTTTTTTCTTTTGAAGACATTTCACTTCTCATCCAAGAAGCTTCTTCAGCTCTGACAGGATAGTTGGGAAGAGCTGAAGAAGCTTCTTGGATGAGAAGTGAAATGTCTTCAAAAGAAAAAAACAAGAAAGACCAGTTGCCTCCTGAAAAAGCACCTTTGGAACAACCATGACCTGGATGACTGAGAATCGCTATAGACTTTTCTCAGCACAATTTTCTCCATTGCTGAAAGTGGCATATAAATAGTTAGTAGTGACAGGTGTCTGAAGGTTGCCCATCCCTGCCAGCTCACTGCAGGGGAGTTGAGCTGGAGAAAATTGCTAGGACATTTAATAATAATCATATATCATAGTTTGTGGGCAGAATAAAGTCAAAGTTTATTAGTTTAATATAATTAAAAAACAAAGTTTATTAGTTTAATATTATTATCAAAGTGCTTCCCATTTTAACAGCTGCTTGGTACAAAACTCATATTATTTCAGCAAAGTTTCTTGTAACCTCTATTGATTTTTGCTTTTAGCTTGGCCTCACTGTTCTCAGCTGTATCACCTCTGATGAAGTCGGCTATGAAAACAAATATATTTTTTGTTTATAACATTGCAATATCATAAAAAAAGCATTGTAATGCTATTTCTGATGAAATAACACTGATAGAAACTGCAAATAAAGTCATATAGGTTTCCTTGGCCAAATTCAGTTGTAATGTGAGATAGAGGAAAATGGTATTTAGAGGATGTGTTAGCTCTGGAAGAGTGGGCGCAAGGAACGGAGACGAGACATCGAATAGTGACTCAACTCTTTAATAGTGACTTCAGAACAGAGCAAATTACTAGGGCAGCAGCAGCTCTTTTATAGAGCTGGCTGCTGTCACAACAACCAATGATTTGAGTTTACCGCTCTAAAAAGCGTCCAATCGGAGGCGACCCGCTGCCAGCCAATCAGATCAGCCAGAAACGACCAATCACGATTCGCTATTCACGGGCCAATCAGAAGTGCAGGATTGCGAGCCTGCTGTGGAAGTAAAACTATTAGGATTTTAAACGAACGCGTTTGCTTAGTTCGTAACACCCCTCCCCCCTAGGTTCCGTCTGAGGGGTGGGGTGACGTATTCTCGCAAATAGGCAGGTCGTTTCACCTGTCTGCTTGATTTGCGCTGTTCCACCAGTTTCTGTCCTGGTTCTGGTTCCGGTGGGCTGTTTGCTGAGCTGGGTGGTAAAGATGGTCCCCCTGCTCCGTTGGATGACTCGGGGCTGTCATCTCCGCTTCTGTCAATGTTGTCATTCGGGTTCCTTGGACTTGCTTCTATGGCGGTGCTGCTTCACGGCGAGGCAATCACCCGGCTTGGTCCTCCATTGGAAGGTGAGTATCCCATGGTTGGTTGTGCAGACTGATGAGTTTCAATTATCGGATCGTCTGCTATTTCTTTTTCGGCCCCCTCGATTTCCCTTCCCCCCCTGGTTTGAGAGTCAGGGGTTGAGCTGGGGGTAGGTGCCAGTCTGGAGCGAAGCTGGTCTATGTGGCGCTTCCATAACTTCCCATCAACAGTTTGTAAATGGTAGGATCTAGGGCCCGTGAGTTGAATTATGGTAGCGGGGACCCACAATGGGTCACCTGAGAAGTTTTTTGCAAAGACCAAGTCGCCTACCTTGAAAGCACGACACTTGCTGCTGGACCCCAAGGGCTTTTCTGGCGTGTAAGTAGGGTGTAGGCGATCAAGGTGTGAGCGAAGTTTCCGGCCCATCAGGAGTTCGGCCAGGGTTCTGTTTGTGGTGCTGTGTGGGGTGATGTGTTGAAGGAGAAGCATTCTGGTTACCTTGTCATCAATGTCCCCATGTTCCATCTTGTGTAAGGTCTTCTTTATGAATTGGACCATTCGCTCAGCCCTGCCGTTGGCCGCAGGATGAGCTGGCGATGTTAAAGCATGGCGGATACCCCGGTCTGCTAGGTACTGTTCAAATGCCAGGGCAGTGAACTGGGGGCCATTATCTGAGACTAAAACGTCCGGCAACCCGTGTGTAGCGAATAGTCTATTCAATTTTTTAACGACTGCTTCTGTGGTGGTGCTTTTCATTTTGTGGACTTCGAGCCAGTTGGAATAGGCATCCACTGTTATAAGAAAAGTGTGCCCTTTGGTGGGTCCCGCAAAATCGATGTGGATACGGGACCAGGGACCACGAGGTGCTTCCCACTCAGTTGGAGTTGCCTTTGGTGGGGCAGCGCGAATTTCCTGGCACTTGTTGCATGTGGCCACCCAGGCTTCTATTTGCTTATCTATACCTGGCCACCACGTGTAGCTACGTGCAAGTGCCTTCATTCGCACGATGCCTGGATGACCATCGTGCAACAGTTTTAAGACTTTATGTTGTAGCTTCTCAGGGATGATGACTCTGTCTCCCCACAAAATGCAGCCCTTTTGAGAGAACAGTTCAGTCTGTCGGTTTTTGAAGGGCGCAAAGGTGTCGTTGGGTTCGTTGTCAGGCCAACCTCGTTGCACCCAGGTGAGGACTCGTGCCAAAACAAGAGCCTTCTTTGTTTCTGCGGCGATGTCTCTGGCAGTCAGTGGTGGTGAAGGAAGAGTTTCAATTTGGAGTGCAGTTAGGGTTGGAGCTGGATCATCTATGGCTTCTGGTAGCGGAGAACAACTCAAGGCGTCAGCGTGGGGAATGGCTTTCCCCAGGCGGTGTTGCAGTTGATAATCGTATGCGGCTAGAAACTCTGACCAACGTGTCATTCTTGGCGATAAGATGTGGGGAGTTGGTTTGTCTCCCGCTAAAATGCCAAGTAATGGTTTGTGATAGGTGATTATGGCAAAAGGTCTTCCATATACATATTCATGGAAACGCTTGATAGCAGACACAATAGCGAGAGCCTCTTTATGAGTTAGCTATAGTTTCTTTCAGTCTTTGATAAAGTCCTTGAAAAAAAAGCAATAGGTGCCTCATTTCCATTTGGCAGGACGTGGCTCAAAATAGCTCCCACCCCAAATGGTGAGGCGTCGCAGGTGACAGTTAAAGGCAAAGTCTCGTTATACTGCATCAATACAGCGTCTGAAGTTAAGAGATCTTTTACTTGCTGGAATGCTCGTTCTTCCCGATGTCCCCAGACCCAGGAAGCCTTCTTGTCGAGTAGTCTGTGTAGGGGCTCAGCTACTGTCGCCTTCTGGGGCAAGAAGATGTTATAAAAGTTAATGAGTCCCAGGAAGGCTTGGAGGTCTGTTTTATTCCTAGGTCTTGGGGCGTTTTTTATTGCGGTTAGTTTTTTTTCAGTAGGGTGGATCCCCTTTTTGTCAAGAAGGTACCCAAGGAATTCAACCCTCTCAGTACAAAGTTGACACTTGTCTTTCTTTACTTTTAGGCCTGCGTCTTTAAATTTCTGGAGGACCATTCTGAGTCGTTTTTCTAATATGTCTTTAGTGGGGGCGGCTATTAAGACATCATTGAAATAAGGCACGACCCCTTTTATGCCTTGTAATAGTCTCTCCATCAGGCTTTGGAAGATGCCCGGTGCTACACTCACTCCGAACTGGAGTCTATTACACTTAAACGCACCTCTGTGCGTGACTATAGTCTGGGCCTCTGCAGTCTCTGCATCTACGGGTAGTTGTTGGTATGCCTGGGCTAGGTCCAATTTTGCAAATATTTTTCCGCCGCCCAGGGAGTGAAGAAGATGTTGGACCACAGGTACAGGATAAGCGCTCTGCTGAAGCGCGTGATTTAGGGTGGCCTGGTAATCCCCACAAATTCTTAACGATCCGTCAGGCTTTATGGGTGTTACAATCGGGGTTTCCCATCGGGCGTGGTCAATCGGTTCTAACACACCTTGGGCTATTAATTTGTCCAATTGTTCATCAATCTTTGGCTTGAGTGCAAAGGGCACTCAACGAGGCTTAAGGCGTATGGGCGCAACATCGGGGCTGAGGCTAAACGATATGGGGGATCCCTTGTACTTGCCTAGCTTCTCGGTGAACACGTCCTGGAACTCCTGGACGAGGCCTGCTTCCCAGTCTTTGCTTCCGGTCTGGTGGATGCCAGCTAGTTCAATTCCCAGTGGGGTGAACCACTGCAAACCCAACAAACTGGGCCGGTCTCGATCGACGATGGTAAGAGGTAGACTTGTGGTGTGGTCTTTGAAGGACACTTGGACATGGCTGGACCCGACAACAGGAATTCTGTTTCCTTGGTAGTCCTTTAATATGATTTTTTGAGTGCTGAGGTCCTGGCGACGGATGTCAGGGATCAGCTGTTTGAAGGTTTTCCAGGAGACCATTGATAGGGACGATCCCGAGTCGACTTCCATCACACATGGGCGATTCTCAATGGTGACCTTCACTCGGATCTTTCTCGCATCCAAGGATGAGGCGTGGCCGATGGTAATGGTTTGATGCGCTTCTTCTCGTCTAGCTGACGTAGCAGGTGCTCGATTTCTGTAGTGGTGGTGGTTCCATTGGTGGCTCATGTGGTCCCGATTTACAGGTGGGCTGCCTGTTGTCTGGCGGA